ACGCATGCCAGGCGAGCGCGCTACCGCTTGAGCCACATCCCCAGCCCTGAATAACTTTAAATCTTTTAATTGATATTGGTAAACTGTTTTATAGAAAGTTTATCAAATCATTCATAGGAAGTATATGAAAACAAGTTTTTTGTACATTTAAAAATTGTGCACTATAATTATCTCTTTGTTTCTTCCTCCCTTTACTAGTTCTGCCAATTTTTACTTGATATAATTTTCAAAATTGGTTATTAAGTACACATAGATTTGGAATTTTTGTGTCCTCCTTATAGATTGAAACATTCATTATCATGAATGTCTTTCCTTATCTCTAAAACTTCCTCTTTGTCTATTTGTGTAGCTACAGGATGGTTTGGTCAGTGTTTGTTGTATTTCTTTATCCTATTGTATTTACTTTCTCCCTTCCTGTGTCCTTATAGTTCAAGTGTCTTCCTTATAAACAGTATATAAATGAGTTTGGGGATTTTCAATCCAGTTGAAATCTTTATTTTTTAAGAATTCCAATATTTGATTCATTTCCTAAATTTAATGTCTTTTACTGATATGGTCAGCTCAATAACTACCTTGTAATATTCATTTTCTATTTGTCCCTATGAATCCATGTCTCCCCTTTTTTCTTTCTTGTATTCTTTTTGGATCGATTTTTTTTAATTCCCTATTTATCCTCCAATGGCTTGAAAAAAATTTATCTAATCAATCAGAGGTGGTTTTTGGGTGGGAAGAGAACACAAATATACAAATTTTTATACCTCTTGGATATATAGATACGTAAATAATATACACATGTATATATACACATATTCATTCACATACACACACACACACACACATATATATATATATATATATATACACACATACATACATACACAAATACACACACACACATATATATTTAGGGGGGTACTGAGAATTTAACCTAGAGTAGCTTAACCACTGAGCCACATCCCCAGTCATTTTTATTTTTTAATTTGATACAGGTTCTTGCCAAGTTGTTTAGGGTGTTTAGGGCCTCAGTAAATTACTGAGACTAGTCTCGAACTTGAAATCCTCCTGCTTCAGCCTCCCAAATGGCTGGGATTACAGGAGTGTGTCAACATGTCTGGTTGTGTTTAAGCTTTGTGCATTATTTTTGGGTCTTGGTGCATTTCCTATGGTGTTTCCAGATGTATCTTCCTTTTTTTTTTTTTTTCCTACTAGGGATTGAACTCAGGACCTCATGCATGCTAGGCAGGCACCAGGCACGATATCACTGAGCAACATCCCTAGCCCTTCTCCCTTTTTTTTTTTTTAATTTGGAAAATTGTTTGGTTATTAACTCTTCAAATATTCTTCAGCCTCATATTTTCCTCTTCTTTCCTTCTAGAACACCAGTAATAAGTACATATGTAGATATTTTCATTGTGTTGTATATAAACCCTTTTTCACATTTTCCTGTAGAGATTTTTTTTTTCATTTTATTAATCTTTCTTCAGTCACATCTAATCATCTATTAAATTCATCTACTTTATTCTTAATTTCAGTTATTGTGTTCTTCTTTTGTAAAATTTTCATTTTATTTTTAACATTTCCAACTCTCTCTCTCTCTCTCTCTCTCTCTCTCTCTCTCTTTTTTTTTGGCAGTGTGAAAGATTCAACCCAGGGCCTTGTTCTTGTGAGAGAAACACTGTACCAACAGAGCTATATTCTCAGCCCCCTCCAACTTTTTTTTTTTTTTTGAGTCATAGATGGATACAATACCTTTGTTTTATTTATTTACATGTGGTGTTGAGTATTGAACCCAGTACCTCACACGTGCTAGGCAAGTGCTCAACCACTGAGCTACAACCCCAGCCCAAAAGTCCCCAATTTTTAATTTAAGTTTTAAAACATATCAATAACAAATATTTAAAGTCCATGTATAATACATCTAATGATTATATCTCCTGACAACTGATTTTTGTGTTTTGGTCAAATGGAGATAAGCCTCCTATTTCTCCTCCAATGGCTTGAAAAAGTTTAACCAGTAAAATAGATGAGACTTTATCTAATCAATCAGAGGTGGGTTTGGGGTGGGAAGAGAACACAAATATACAATTTTTTATACCTCTTGGATATATAGATACGTAAATAATATACACATGTATATATACACATATTCATTCACATACACACACACACATATATAT